TATGGCGGCGGGATGCGGCGCACCTCGCAGACGAGAGCCGGACCTCCGGGCGCCGATGGCCCGCGCGCCTCCGCCGCACGCGCCTCTTGTTATTATTATTTTTTTCCCCGCCCCCCCGCCGAGCTGGGCGCCCCCGACCCCTTCTGCTCGGTGCCGCAAGCGCGAGCCCCAGGGCCCCGGGGACCGGGAGGGATCCACGCCCCAGGCCCTCCATTGGCATATGCCGGCTCGCCAGGGGCAGGGGGGCCGGCGCGAGCGGAAACGTGCGCCACAGGGAAGCATGGCGTGCGTGGCCGTCGCACTAGAGGCACCCCCCTGGTGGGGTGGGCCACGCGCGCGCGCGCGCGCTGGAGACCGATGGTTTTCAGCTGGCTCATTACAATGCGGCGGAGGCCGGCAGGGGGTCTGCTGCGGGCGGGAACGTGTTTGCGCGCTAGCGCCCGCGCCCGCGTGCAAGGGAGGCGCTCCTGCCGCGCGGTCGTGCGGTTGCCGCCGCACGCGGCGCCCCGCCGCCTCCATCCCCCTCCGCACACTTCCCCCGCTTAAATGACACACAGGCGCCTCTGCATGATGCCCCGCATAGCGAGGGTTCATGTGGCGGTGTTTCAAGGCCCGACACGCTGGGCGCGTGGGGGGGGGGGGGGGGGAGGGGGGGGGGGGGGGGGGGGGGGGGAGGGGGGGGGGGGGGGGGGGGGGGGGGGGGTCGAGGCCGGCACGGCAAGCCGGCCAGGGCGGCGCCGGCGGGCCGGTGCCAAGACCCGGCGCGGGGCTCCCTGGTGCCTGTCCAACACGTGCATCGGTGTGACCGCGAGCCTGGTGCTGGGCCGGCGCACTGGTCCTTCAGAACCGGGCCCCGGCGACGCCAGCGCAAGCGTCCCGGCGAGGCGCGGTTGACCGCCAGCCGGCGCGCGGCATGCCGCAGGCAGGGGCCGCCCTCCTGGCCGGGGGGGAGACCGGCGCACGTGTCGAAGGGATCACGCACTCTGCAGGCGCTCCGCAGGGCCGTGCGCTGGCATCGCCCGCGGAGCTGGCATTCCGTGCGGGGCGGCCGCCGCGTTCGACCGCGCAGGATCGCCCTGCCCCACGCAGACGGGCGCCTGGCCCCTGCCCCCCCCGCCCCGGCGCACACACACACACACACACACACACACACGGAGACACGTATGGGCGCGAAGGCGTGCAACGTAAAGGGCGTGTGGGCGCGCGGGCCGGCGGGCAGGGGAGCCGTGGCCAGTCGGGGCCAGGCAGAGCCAGGGAGAGAGAAAGAGAGAGAGAGAGAGAGAGAGAGAGAGAGAGAGAGAGAGAGAGACAGCTTAGCGCGGGCGAACATCATGGCACGTATCGGGCTGGGGCCAGCACGTCGCCCCGGCCTTCGCGGGGGCGTGCCCCCGGCCGGGCGGATTTGAGCCGCGACGAATGGGCCGCGTCGCCGGCGCGCGCGTGGAAGGGCCGCGCGGGCGCCCGCTGCCGTCCGGCCGGAGGAAAGGTGTCGGCTGGCCGGCGGCCCGGAGGCCGACGCCCTGGTGCCGGCGCCTCCCAACCAGCGCCGGGGCCCGGGGCCGCAGTCGAGACGCGACTCCCAGGGGCGGCGAGGCGGGCGCCAACGCAGGCCGCCGTATGTCGGCTGCCGGCATGATGCCTGTCGGCCGCGGGGGGGGGGGGCGTGCGCGGGCCGGGGCCCCTCCGGGGGGATTGGGGCTCTGCGGTGGCCGGCCCCTTGGTGGGCCGCCGGCGCCGCGATGGGCGGAGCCTGTCAACGCCGCACGGCGACCGGGCCCCTCGCGCGTGGAATGGAGCGGGCCCGGCGGGCCCGGGGGCCGGGGCCTTCGCGGAAGCCTGCAATGCGCCAGGCCCAGGGGGCCGCGCCCGGGGGCGCGGGGGCGCACGCGCACGCCCGCGGCCGTTACGCCGGCACCCTGGCGTGTGTGTATATGATGCGTGCTCGCGCGGCCGGCTGGCCGCGCACGCGCACGCGCGCGTTTGCGCCGGTGCTACGTGCGAATATGCTGATCGCCAATTGTGCGGCCGCCGCCGGCCGGCCGTGCCCCTGGCGCGGGGGCGCGCGCGCGCGCTCACATACACGGGCCGGTCTCACGGGCATTGCGCGCCGGGGGGGGGGGAGTGTCCCC